AGTGTGGGTGGAGGATTATTCAGCGCTTACATGAAAACTGAGTGATTGATAAAGCTGTTTGGTTGTACGACTAAATTGAAACTGAGTTACGTTTAGTAACCGAGCGTGTACTTTTAAAACATAGCAGTTTATATGGTGTAAAATTGGACTGACGCGGTTTTAATTGACTAGAACCTCTATGTTAAGCTGTTTTGGCACAATCTACTTTATAAAAGCACTATAGAAATAAAGATGAATTGAATATAGGGTGTTAGTAGATGATTTCTTTGCCTTTACCATGATGACAGTCTATAATATTTTACTAGTTATTTTGGAAGGTAGTATTCAGCTTAAAGTGTATTTTAAAGGCTTAATTAGGCAAGATATTGAATATTTCTCTGTGATGTTAAATCATTTTTAAAAAACGAGGGAAGATCATGCTGTACCAAAAATAGCCCTCTATTAGGGGCAAAAATGCAATGATAAACTAATTAATTAATGTTGTGGGAAAAATAAAAGTGATAAAAAATAAAAATATAGTAAACAAAGAGAAAAGAAAGGAAATTTTGTGGGTTCAAAAAAATTAAGATAATTCTCAGAGAAATTGCATTATAAGTTACCCGTCTAAAGAGTCCAGAAAATATTTCGCTGAGTTCGAACAAAAAAAAAAGTGTATTTTTTCCTGATGCAAGCATCTGAGCCGGGCGCAATAGGTGAATCCGCGGTATAATCCATGAGAGACCATGATTTTGACAACTGGATTCAACTCGCGGCACTTCTGCAGGACACCGGCAGATGAATCTGAGTAAAACTGAAGCTCTGCGCCCTTGTGTGAGACCTTTTTCTTCAAAGCTGCTCTCAGAACGGTTTCTTTTTCCATAAACCGCAAAAACAAAACCGCACCAAAACAGTCCTTGGAGGTAAAAGACAGAGTCAGCAGGCACCTAGCCATTTGGGAATGGAGGAATGGAGAAACGACATGAGAGGACCGAAGCCTTCTGCTCCTTCTGGAGACCAACTATTCTCAGATTTTTCCGACGGCCTCTGTTCTCTAGATTGTCCACTTTTTTGACTGGAGTTGTTGCACCTTGGTCAATAAATTGTCAAGCTGGCCTTTAGAGACTGCTGCCGTGTCTTTGGCAGATGATATCCTACCTTCAGCCTCTTAGACGAGTTTCGATAGCCTCGATTTGGGTTGCAAACAAATTTTGCAGAGATGAGACAAAACCAGCAATTTCCTCCAACTGGTTAGTGATCGCATCGAGACCGGAAACGTTGGCTTTTGTATCAGAGTAGCCTGAGATATTGGCTTCCACTTTTGGCTTTGGGTCACCTGACCTCTTATTGAATATTTCTAAGAGAGCTGCTGACATGGAATTGAACCAGATTTTGATAAAAACAACAGCAATGGACAATAACAATGGTATGACACAAGGAGAAAGTACTGATTTACTAAAATATATTTATTACTCTTATAATCTGATCTTTATTTTGTATATTCTATTGGATTGAGGTCAGGTGATTGGCTGGGCCATTCTTCAGCTTGATTTTCTTTCTCTGAAAGCATTTGAGAGTTTCCTTGCCTGTGTTTTGGATCATTGTCCTGCTGTAATGTCCACCTTTATTTCATCTTCATCCTCCTGCTAATGTAGACGTTGGACTGAAGCGGCAAATATTAATTTACAGTGAGGAAGGGCAGAGAGTTGCTGAAGAACTACTGAGAGATTTCAGTTGCTGTCTAGGCTTTCACTGCTGAACTACACCTTCATCTCTTTATGTGTTTAAGTATTTTACTAGTTATTTTGGAAGATAGTATTAAGCTTAAAGTGTATTTTAAAGGCTTAATTAGGCAAGATATTGAAGCTATTGAGTTCGGTTTAGTTTTAGTTCAGTGTTGATAAATGATTTCTGTTGTCTTTCCCATAACGAAAGTACATACTATTTTACTACAGTACTTATTTTAATAGATAGTATTCAGCCCAAAGTGTATTTTAAAGGACAATCATTTCTTAAGGCGGCTAATAACACTGACCTTAAAAATCACTTAAGAAATACACGTAACAGATTGAAAGAGTAGAAATAAGACTTTCTCCAGACGTAAAAAGTAAATACTGCGACAATTGACTTCTTTTAACCATCACATGGGAAATATTCGAAAAAGGCTAATAATTTAGATATTTAAATGATCTTATTTTAACTTTTTTTTCCAGTACCTCAGCTGCCGGAAATATATATTTTTTGTTTTTATACTGTAATAACTGTATTTTCTCTTGCCTAAACCCACCCCCTAGTAAATTGTGTACAGTTTTACTTTCTGAACCTCTGTGATTTAGAAGCCTTTGGAGAAATAACATCAGCAATGTCCTCATATTTTATCACCTTCTTGTAATACCTGTGTCATACCTATGTCATTATACAGATTTGTGTCCTGATATGTCACAAAAACACGTACACGCACACCCACACACACTAATAGGCCCCTAGCAATTAAAAGCTGATTAATTAAATAGTAAAACTATAAGAATTATTAATTTAGTTTCATTGTTTTTACATTTACAAATATACACACCTATTTGTTTGTCTTTTTTTGCTATATCTATTGCATGTTAGAATAGTAGATAAAGCTTGATTAAGTTTTTTTTTATTTATGTGTCATTTCTTTTTTTTTTTAGTTTTTTTTTTTTCGTAGTTTTTGTGAATTTAAAAAATTTGCCTTTATAATTTCTAGTTATTTTTCATTTTAAAGTTACGTTTATTTAATATATATATGTATATATATGTCAAATTTGCTTGCAGTTTTTGTATTTTCTCTATGTATTGTTTCTTCTGGAGAAAGTCTTATTTGTATTATTTTAACTGGAATAAAAGCAGTTTCAAAAAAACGTAAAGAACATTTTAAGGTCAATATTATTAGCCAACTTAATCTTTTTGATTGTCCACAGAACAAACCATCGTTATACAATGACTTGCCTAATTACCCTAATTAACCTAGTTGAGCCATTGAATGTCACTTTAAGCTGTATAGAAGTGTCTTGGAGAATATCATAGTCAAATATTATTTACTATTATTTATTTTAGTATAAACATTATATTCATCATGGCAAAGATTAAATAAATCAGTTATAAGAGATGAGTTATTAAAACTATTATGATTAGAAATGTGTTGAAAAAATCTCTCCATTGAACAGTAATTGGGAAAAACAGTAATAGCAGGGCAAAGAACTCTGACTTACAGCGGAATAATTGTATATGTTGAGTGTTAGCATGGTTCCCTGTCACCTTGTAAAGATTAAAATGGTTTTGCTACATAACTGTGACTAATGGCTGAAAAATTTGTTTGCCGTATCCAATTAGCTTCACCTTTCATCTCTCATGTGTCCATTTCAGCACACACGAGATGTCTGACCTGCTCATTGAAAGCACCTGTTTGAACTCTGCTGTGACCAGATGCAAAATCCAGATTTACCGCTACATCGTTCTGGATCTTTAAAGGGACAGGGCTAAGGCTGCTCAATAAATGCAATATACAGTCAAAATTATTCGCCTTGTGAATTGTTTTATCAAATAATTCCCAAATGATGTTTAACAGAGCAAGGAATTTTTCACAGTATTTCCTATAATATTTTTTCTTCTGGAGCAAGTCGTATTTGTTTTATTTCAGCTAGAATAAAAGCAGTTCTTAATGTTTTAAAAGCATGTTAAGGTCAATATTATTAGCCCCTTTAAGCTATTTTTTTTAATAGTGTACAGAACAAACCTTCGTTATATATTAACTTGCCTAACTACCCTAACCTGCCTAGTTAACCTAATTAACCTAGTTAAGCCTTTAAATGGCACTTTAAGCTGTATAGAAGTCTTGAAAAATATCTAGACAAATATTATTTACTGTCATCATGGCAAAGATAAAATTAGTAAGTTATTAGAGATGAGTTATTAAAACTATTATGATTAGAAATGTGTTGAAAATTTTTTTTCCACCGTTAAACAGAAATTAGGGGAAAAAATAAACAGGGGGTTAATAATAATAATAATAATAATAATAATAATAATAATAATAATAATAATTATTATTATTATTATTATTATTATATACATTTATTTTTTTTTTGTTTCTTGTACGATCTGATACCCACTTTATATTATATATATCTAACAGACAGTAAAGATCACTCATTTTTAAAGAAATTAGATTTTTAACGTGATGATTATGCAATGGAAAGACAGTTAACTGGAAGCCCTTGGGCTGCCTGGCTGAAAACTAAAAGTCTGTGTGCATGTAGCCCAATGAATGAATATTAAAAAAATAGATTTGTTGGCTTTTGGTCCAAATGCATTGTTTATAACTCCTATTTGACCTAACACTGTTATAAAACCTCAAGTGTCTTTTATAAACATCATGTCTGCTCACCCTTCTTCTGTAATCATGTAGATCATCTAAACCATAGGTCTCAAACTTAATTCCTGGAGGGCCGCAGCTCTGCGCAGTTTTGCTCCAACCCTAATCAAACACAGCTGATCCAACTAATCAAGGTGATCTAACTAATCAAGATGTTCACGACTATTAGACACTAGAATCAGCTGTGTTTGATTAGGGTTGGACCAAAACTGTGCAGAGCTGCGGCCCTCTAGGAATCCAGTTTGAGACATATGAAATAATGGGATATATTGCTGTTATTATCATGAAAAAATTGTGTAACTGTTACTAGTTTTCTTTCCTCGATCAGTGACTTTAATTAGGAGAATTCACTGTTTTGAATAGCCTCTTCGCAATAAAAAACTTAAATAAAACTTAGATAAAAAAAGGTTTTATTGTGATGAATTGTTGGTGATTGGATGGATGTCGGCCCTAATGGATAGCCTTACTTTGACGTAGGGAAATTAAGACCCGTTTAAAATGATTTAGAACCTACACCACAATATTACAGTGAATTCAAGACTTATTAAGACCCTGCGGGCACCCTGACAATATGTTCCCTTCATTAAATCATCAGCAAAAAATACAAACTCACAAGCCACTGAAGTTGTTTAAATAATGCAAAAATATTTATTATTACTTAACAATGGTGACCACAGAAATGGCGATTAAAAATATCATTTCATAGAAATATCACTCATTAGCCAATATGGCTTAATAAAAATAAATATTTAACATAAATGTGAAACATGGAGGCATTGCAGAGCTTCATTGTTTTACAGTGCATCTTCCACCAGAGTCTTTGGTTTGGATGAAGGCAATCGCACATGGCTTTGGCTTTATCTAGAGTCCCTGATTGCAGATTGTCATTAATTGGATCATACTGTATTCCTCCTGTGCAACAAAAGTATCTTCAATGCAAAAGCCTTAAACGTCCCGTATAAAGGATGGAGAGGGATTTATCCCATGTGCACAAAGTTTCCAGTTGGAAGAGGTTAGTCTTTATTTTAACTTGAGGTTTGGTTCGTTTCAGTCAACAATCTCCTTCTTCTTCCTAGAAACCACTTGAGGGAGGTATTCCAGCACACCTGATGACGCCCTGAAATGCATGACGTGTGCAGTGAATGAGCTTCTTGTCCAGGTAACTCCCGCATTGGACTCTTCTATGAGTTTTCAGAAATCCACGCTTGGCTTCTGTGGTTTCGCCTCATTCTCCATTTTTCCAGGAGAAGCTGGATCTTCTTCTTTCCAGAGAGAACATCAGTTTGTTTTGTGGTTCTCACCCTGTGAAAAAACAAAGACATGAGGTCAACATCAGAGCGACACCAGATTTACACACTGTAGGTTTGTATAGTAAATGTTTTTAATCCATAAACTCTGGCTAAAGCCACCCGATTTAAGTTTAAGACTCTGATTTATAAGGTTTAGGGTAAAAAAAATCAACTTTATTGACCTTTCAAAAAAAGATTTATAGTGATGAAAACGAACAAAACAAACAAGATTAATATTTGTTTACATTTATATTTATTCATTTTGATTTTCATTTAACTACTGAGTAGCTACTGTTTACAAGTTTGATTTTAAAATGGATTTTGTTGTATTTTATTGTCTTTTAAATATGTCTATAAAGTTATAATAGCTGTAATTTTATTATTAATTTAATTTATATTGAATTTTTTTCTGTCTAATTATTTATTAATAATATTATTATTGTGTATGATAAAAAATTATGCTAATTAATAATAAGAACAAATAATAATTATTACTTAAATATACCTTTGTATACTTTTCTAGTTTAAGACATGTTTATTATGGTTATCTTAATTTTTCTTCTTTATTCATTGTTTTAAACGTATATTTCCCCCTTACATATTCATTAGGGTATATATACAGTTGAAGTCAGAATTTTTAGCCCCACCTGTTTATTTTTTCCTTAATTTCTGTTTAACGGAGAGCAAATTTTTTTCAGCACATTTCTAATCATAATAGTTTTAATAACTCATCTTTAATAACGGATTTATTTTATCTTTGTTATGATGACAGTAAATAATATTTGACTAGATACTTTTCAAGACACTTCTATACAGCTTAAAGTGACATTTAAAGGCTTAACTAGGTTAATTAGGTTAACTAGGCAGATTAGGGTAATTAGGCAAGTTATTGTATAATGATGGTTTGTTCTGTAGACTAGCAAAGTAAAAATAGCTTAAAGGGGCTAATAAATTTAAACTTAAAATGGGTTTTAAAAAATAAAAACTGCTTTTATTTTAGCCGAAATAAAACAAATAAGACTTTCTCCAGAGGAAAAAATATTATCAGACACACTGTGAAAAATTCCCTGCTCTGTTAAACATCATTTGGGAAATATGTACAAATAAATAAATAAATAAATCAAAGGGGGGCTAATAATTCTGACTTCAATTGTATAAACACATACACAGACACAAAAAATTTATCTTATCTATTCACACAGCATCATATTACCGTAATTTTACAAGAAAGATCTGGGTGTGCTCATGTATGCTGGAAACTGTATGTACAGTATGTGTGTCTGTGTCACACAACACACATACAGCACATGCACAATCAAGCATGAAATGATTCATACCTCTGGCAAAAAACTGGAATAAATGTAAATAAAAGCTTACAAATATTTCAATGCAATAATGTATACAATAATGCCTCTAGTACATCGTTGTATTTTATTTTTGGGAGAAACCTCAGTACTTTCTGCTCAAATAAAGTAGCTTTTTCTAGACAAGCGAAACACATTGTCTATTTTAAGAAACATTTTCTTAAAATGAAGTAAGTTCTTCCTTAAAACAAGCAAAATAATCTTATGTTAAAAGGAAAAAACAGATTATTTTGCTTATTTTAAGGGAAAATTCATTTAATTTTGACAGATTGTTTCCTATGTCCTTGCTGGTTGTACAAAAGTAACTTTAAGTCATAGGAATGACTAATGTCCACCTTATAGTGGGTGACGTCTTTATAAAACGATTTACTTTCAAGCTTAATCTGCTTATATCTGAAAATGAATGATAGGCTGTCACATCAGCTGAGACATTAATCTTACTGAGGCTTGTAATTAAGGCACCCAATTATTTCTGAAATGATTGTGCGCATGTGAGCTTTCTTCTTTATTTATTTCCCCCCTCCACTGTCTCTGTGGTTTGTCTCACCTTCTAATCTTTGTCTGTGTTTCTGCCAGCGTGTGTTTGCATTGCTTCCCAGCACAATCGTGGCCCTGGGCGGCGCGGATCGCCCTGTCTGACGCTGCTTTAAACCTGAAAAAGAAAGTTCAGATCAGGCATGAGCAGTCAATTCCTCAACAAGCTTGATGAAAGTCCACAAATAGATGTGAAACCTGTTTCTGCAAGTTCCTCAAGTCATGCAATGACAGCTATTATGCCTGAACAATATTACTGCGACATACAGTGTATGCTCACACTGCATGCAGCATTTTTGTCTTGTTTCTAGCCCAAATTTCTTAAATCAAGATGCTTTTTTTCGACAAGCAAAACAATTAGTCTTGTTTTTAGAAACAATATGCCAAAATTAAGTACGTTTTCCCTTTAAACAAATAAAATAATCTAGTTTTTCCTTTTGACGTAAGATTATTTGGCTTGTTTTAAGGAAAAACTCACTTTATTTTTAGATACTATTTCCTAAAACGAGACAATATGTTATGCTTGTCTAGAAAAAGCTTCTTGATTTAATAGTTTTTAGACATTTGGACTAGAAACAAGACCAATAATCGAAGTAAGTGTATCCTCGAGAATATCCAAACACTGAGCTGCTCTACTCTTAACAAGCAAGCCTTGTGTCCTTGAAAGTGGACTCAAGATCAAAACTATCTGCTTGTAAGTATGATGAGGCGTACTCACTGTAACGCACTGTCCGCTTGGCAGAATGAAGAGCATGTTTTGTCTTGACTATCTGCACATTTGCAGCGTGACTCGAGCACAACAGGTTCTGTGACCGAGCGCTTCTTGCGTGGAGCGTTTCCAAGTCCATATGACACCGTTCGCCTGGAGGAAAGAAAAAATGATTAGAAAACAATGTTAGTCATGCTAAAAAAAAAATAGCATGATGGACAGATCAATCTCTAACGATTTACAGTTCATAACTGATGGTATTTGCATGCATTTTTGATATATAATGTCTGTTCTGACTTACTCTGGTGTGTTCACCCATATTATGTCCAGGTGGCAAAAGTAGACGCACTCTTTATCCAGAAAACTTGCGCAGGAGCATCTCTTATTCCTGGAGTGACGTGCTGGTGCTGTGCCTGGACCCAAAGATGCTGGAGCACCTAATTAATCATAAAGGTACATTCAATTTATTAGCTTTTCTACATATTAAAAACACTTTGCATGATTGACTAGAGATGATTGAATTTGTCGCGCTTAATTAAAAATGACATTGATGCACAATTCATAGTCTAAAAGAATAGTAAAGGTTTATCTTCAATGTGTTTGGAGCTTGTTTTTATAAAGAGCTTACTGAGATATTACACTTTTTATGTTTGTATCTTGACATATTGCAGTTTTTAAGACTTATGTAGACTTTAAAACTAATTATGAGGCTGTTTAAACCATATTACCACAATATATAGATACATATTATAGATTTACATAGATATTAAGTATTGAGGAAACTATTTATAAAGCTGTTTATATCATATAACCACAATATATAGATACATAATAAAGATATGGAGTGTTAAGGAAACTTTATAAAGCTGTTTAAATTGTATTTCCACAATATATAGATAAATAATATATATTTATATAGATTTAGAGTATTGTGGAAACTATTTATAAGGCTGTTTAAATCATATTACCACAATATATAGATACATAATATAGATTTATATAGATGTAGAGTATTAAGGAATCTATTTATAAAGCTGTTTAAACCAGATTACCACAATATATAGATTTATATAGATAAAGTTTAGAGGAAACTATTTATAAAGCTGTGTAAATCATATTACCACAATAAATATGTATATATATATATATATATATATATATATATATATATATATATATATATATATATATATATATATATATATTTATATATATATATATCAATAAAATAGGTTTATATAACTATAGAGTACTGAAGAAAAGATTTATAAAGCTGTTTAAACTATGTAACCATAATATACAGATCAATAATATAGCTTTATATAGATGTTGAGTATTGAGGAAACTATTTATAAAGCTGTTTAAACCTGGTTACCATAATATATAGATCAATAATATAGATTTATATAGATATAGAGCATTTGGGAAACTATTTATAAAGCTGTTTAAATCAAATTACTACTGAAAGGAAACTATTTATAAAGCTATTTAAATATTATCACAATATATAAATGTGTATATATATATATATATATATATATATATATATTTTTTAAATACATACCAAAGTCAAAAAATCCAGATGTCAGCATGGTCAGAACTGGGAAAATAATCCTCAAATGCATTGTTTTGTAGTATGCAAGTCCCGTATTCCAGTAGTAGTCCAGTAAAACAGCTGAAGAGTTTTGCTCTAATAAGCTGCAGTGTTTATTGTGGAGTCTCGAGCTCAGTCTTGTGCAGGAGCACTTATATACGCGCGCTCACGCCTCCCGCCCGCGCGAAAACAATACTGTTTGTTAATAGTCAGCTACAGGCAGCGTGTGGAGCGAGATAAGAAGTTTTTGTATTCCTGAGATTCCAGCGGGATGGAGACGCCGGGCGGCCGTTTGGTGCCAAGTTTTTACGGTTTGTAAGGTGTCTTCAAGTGGTACAGTTTTCATACAGGACGACAGAGGGCGCGAGAGTAGCGCGGACAGACAGAAACAAGGACTTCGAGACTCCCAACGACGATTGCAACATATCAGGATTAATGTGAGTAATACATGTAACGAGTATCATAAAAGTGTATTGGCTATATATAAAATAATGACATGAAAACAAAACCTATTCACTTGAAGGTTAAATATACAGTTGAGGTCTGAATTATTAGCCCCCCTGTATTTCCCCCCAATTTCTGTTCAACGGAAAGACATGTCTAAACATAATAGTTTTAATAACTCATTTCTAAAAATTTTTTATTATATATTTGCCATGATGACAGTAAATAATATTTTACTACGTATTTTTCATGCTAGTATTCCGCTTTTGACGGCTTAACTAGGTTAAGGGTCAGGCTAGTTAAACACCATGTGAGTGAGTGAAAACCTCCACAGATATTCTGACTCTGATTGGGTGTCATTTTTTCTCTCTCTCTCTCTCTCTTGAGTACATACTATTTGACTAGATATTTTTCAAGATACTAGTATGCTTAAAGTGACATTTAAAGACGTATCTAGGTTAAATAGATAAGTTAGGGTAATTAGGCAAGTCATTGTAGTTTGTTCTGTAGATCGGAAAGAGGGCTGACTTGCTTAAGAGGGCTAATAATATTGACCTAAAATATTTTTTAAAAGTGCTTTCATTCTGACCAAAATAAAACACAATAGACTTTCTCCAGAAGAAGAAGAAGAAAAAAAAAGGAAATAATGTGAAAAATGTCTTGCTGTGTTAAACATCATGGGGACAAAAAAAAAAAAAAATCACAGGAGGGCTGATAATTTTAACTATATATGCTCCTCTTTTAACATTTATGCATAATATTTGTATATAGTTTGTATGCGTATAGTTGTATACACACACACACACACACACACATATATATATATATATATATATATATATATATATATATATATATATATATATGTATGTATGTATGTATGTATGTATGTGTATATAGATATGTGTGTGTGTGTGTGTGTGCTTTCTAACTGCTTTCTAATTGTATGTAGTTTCGAATTAAATTATTAATCTAGTCATTATTGCTTTTATTACTATTACCATTAATAATAATAATAGTAACAACAATATTAATTAATAATAAAGTGATCTCTGAAGACTGGAGAAATGAAGCTGAAAATTCATCTTTGAAATGACTGGAATAATTTATTAAAATAGTTATTTTATAGTGCAATAACATTTCACAATTGTACAATTTGTTCTGTATTTTTAAAGAAATAAATGCAACCTTGGTATGCAGGAGAAGCTTATTTTAAAACATTAAAAAATCCCACTGACCCCAAATATATATATATATATATATATATATATATATATATATATATATATATATATAAAATCGTAATGTTTATATATGTATTTATAAAAATGTCTTATAAAGTATCATAAAAAGTGTAGGCTACAAATTATTATTTTTTAATTAAAGTGAAAACAAAATGTCTTAAGTCGTTCAATACAGGTTAATGTAAAGTTCTTTGGACAGTTTTTTTCTATCAGGTAGCTAAAGCAGGGTCCTGTGTTTAGGTTCAGTAATTAGAGAGTTATTGAAATGCCTTATTTTTGTGCCATTTAACCTAAAGATGGGGACTCTAATAAAGGCATTCATTAATAAAAGTCCTTTGAATTTATATGAAAAATATAAATGAAAACATTTGGAAAAATAAGGGTTTTGTGATGTTTTGAAATAAACATTACCTGGTAACATTACATACATACAGAAAAAACACTCATCTACAAACTATAAACACCATCTGTTGATTTGATAATCGAGATTTTTATCAGAAAATTTAGCTCCTGGTAAATTTCTGCCGGGACTTTTTTTTTTTTTTTTACAGTAAAGAAACATGCTTTTTTTTTGTGGAGATCTTGATACGATGAAAAATGGTTTTTAAATGTTAAACTTTAATACAACTTCATTTTCATCTAAGTATTTTGAAAATACTTTATTATTATTTTTTTCAATTACTGAATACCAATAATAGCTGATCATAATAGATCAGTTCTGATGATCCATGTAATTTTGAGGACTGGAGTAATGATGCTTGAAGTACAGAAATAAATGACTATTATGCTTTGAGACTCCAGGATAAAGCCTCCACTATGAAAAAAATTTAATTGAAACGTGAAAACAAAACATATTGTCGCTCAACGAACATTAAATACATGAAACTTTCTTCTGACATTTTTTATTTTATCAGGTAGTTTCATCAGGGTCCTGTGTTAGGTTCATTGATTTTACGTGAATGGGAATGAAAAGGTTATTAGTGAGTTATTGAATGCCTTATTTTCATGACATTTAAGTAAAATTACTGAATCTAAAGACAGGACCCTGGTAAAAAAAACAAAAAACAAAGAAATATTCATTTAAAAGAAAAAAAAAAAAGTCACGTACCGTAGGCTTATTCCATCTGAACGGTACTCCGTCTGAAATAATAACTTATAGAATGTCTGAAATAAAAAAATAAAGCTTTTTGTAATGTTTTGAAAGAAGTAAATTACATTTTAATATATAGTCAAAAATAGGTTTTAATCATTTGAAATATTCTGTCGGCCCATTAGTAAACACCATCTGTTCAATTGGAAATGAAGGTTTTTAAAAGAATTGGTAGTTAATTTTCTGCCAGGACTTTTTGTTTATAACATTTTTTAGATCTAAGATCTTAGATTTTTTAATCTAGGCATGTGCATTATTAAAATGATAAAGCTTTATCTTTTTACTTTGTAAATTTTATTTGTATTCAGTGTCTGTTCACTTTTTTTTTATTATAAGAGGTTTGCACAAGAGATAATATAAACTTTCCTTTGATCTACACTAAAAGTTTCTGCTGAAACTATTAGACTACTAAAACAAAACTGAAACTAAATTTATAAAGTCTAAAATAAAAAAAAATAAAAAACTTCAATAAAACAAACTAAAACCAAATGAAACTGAAAGCCAAATTTTTAAATAATATTGAAATTAAAACATTTTATAAATAATTGTATTTGTTATGATAACAAATGTTCTTTTATTGTTAGATCATGCACAATCTAAAGTCCATTTATATGTCTTTATTCTGTGTTGCTTTCAGTTTTCAGTGAAACCACACCAAAGTTTGTTTAGAATCTTTTAGGGGTCTTCCTCAGCTTGTTTGCGGCGCACCAGTTTATATACATCTATGTTTACACAAATCAATTTTAAAGTGGATCAAAACCTTCAATTAAAGTTGACCTAAAACCAAAATGTGCATCCGTTCTTGTTGTAGGATGTCTTTTTTTTTTATCCACTTCAAACGTTGACTACTGTACGCTTATTCAGATCTGCCACACTAGCAAAGCAATCGCACCAGAGGTCTTTACATCAAACCTTTTTGTCAAGTGCAAACACAGAATCATTTCTCTAATGTTCAACTTTTATGGGTTTCCCTAAATGTGATGCTCGCAGCAGTTTAGAAACTTTAGCCTTCAGCTCTTTCTGTACCTGCCCAACGGAAAACCCTGTTAATGGAAACTCACGCCAGCTTATGCTCACACCCGGCTACCCTCCACCCGCTCTAAAAATTTGGATTAAACATTACAGCGCAAAGATTCCACACACGTAGTCTTGTTCATGCTTGCTCATTTTAGGAGAGAGAATTTAGGACAACAATAAAATCAATCAATTAAGATCAGATGAATACGGATGCCGCATTAAGGACAATTATATAAATATGCAGTTGTTTTTTAAAGCATTGCTCTCCTCAGGCAAGGGTGGCATCACTGCAGGGATATTTTTCAAATATTCTGACATCGCACTAAGTCTAGGTTTAGCCTCACCTGTACATACAGGTCCTAATGATGATGTCCCTCACTACAGAGTTTGCTTGAGGGCACATTTGCCAGTGGTGGAAAAGTTGGAAGGATTGATAGTCACATGTCTAGATAATGGTCAAATCAGGGAATGGCATTTCCACTGCACAACAGTTTAGGACTAAATTTGTCAGGATAGGACTGAACATTCGGAGCCGTTACAGAGAGTCTCACCCACTCTCATGTTCTTCTGTGGGCTGAGTAACTAAGCAACATCATAACCCCATCCCACCCCACCTTCCTGCATGAATCTGCAGTGAAGCAACTCGTCCAGCAGGTGGCGCTGTTGAGTCACAGACTTGGAGGACTGCAGTAACGGGCACCAAGAAACACTGTCAATTGAATGAGTCATTCTGGGGCTGTAATGAGAGCTTTTGCTCCAAGCCTCTTGAGACAAGGACAGTGTTGCAGTCAATAATCCTCGTTAAAGGAGCTGATTGGTGACGTCATTTGCTGGCGCCCTCAGAGCTCCTCATTAGTGATTTGAACTGCTGAATAATTCTAATGTCTAGGAGAGCCCTGGGAATAGCCCTTTCTGCAAGGTTGATTAAAGAAGAAAAAAAGACAGCAAATTACCCGCTTAAAAAACGGAAAAGGAGACTTCGGAGACATTTCTGCACTTGTAAACAAGGTTTTACTGATACTGCCGATAGTATAGATACAGCAAATGTAAAGCCACCATTTTACTCATACCTATGGACTTATGGAGTTCAAAATGGGCACCAGGTGGATTATAATAAATACTTGACCACAACATCTGTGCACAGGAACACTGCCCCCCAAAAGCCATAGAAATGTTTATATTTCAGTACAACATTTAATTTCCCCATCAATTTAGGATACGAGACATAAAACTTTTCAAAATGAAAACATTTAAAAATAAAACAAATTTCCTTTAACTTCCATATCAACGTAATAGGCAACTACTAGATTTATAAGATATTATATACAGGTTTCTCAACAAGAAACTCCAAAAGGCACAATCGTCTATACAACATGTACAAAAAGAAAAGAAAAACAAAAAACTGTCTGGTGCTGACAAAAAGTACAAAATAAAAATAATTGGTCATCATCGTCATTCATGATTGCACGTACAATATGACTGTCAGAAAGTGTGCTTTTTATAGAACGTTTGCAGAGCTGCAAACCTCCTGAAGTGTTTCAGTTTTACAAAGTGACAAAGTTTTACAAAAAAGTGGGAGAAAGAGGTGAAAAGAGAGAGAAATTCATAGGCAGAAAAGAAAGAGCTTTTATTGGGACTCTCAGGTAGCTATGACAAGTCTGTCCTCATCATCACTGGAGGCTTCATTGTAGTCATCAGTCACTGGTTGTCTGGAAACAGGCTGCCGTGGTTTCACTTCACAAGCCTCACCTGCTGATCCTTTGTGTGCAACATTGCAGCCTCTCTCATTAGAGAGCGAGGGTGAGCAGGGCGAAGGTGGTTGTGGTGGGGCTTTTGATTTTTCCACCATGCCTGTAGTCTTCTCTGCACCCCCTGTGTCCCTAGATCCAACGCTAGGGTTGTTTTGAGAGACCTTCCTAACCTCCATGCATGGCTTTGCATTGACAGCAGCATCTCCTGGATTGGCTGTTGGAGGACTGGCTGAGGGAAGAGGTGCTGGTGGTGATCCAGCAACCTGTGCTGGTAGAGTTACAGATGCTACACCCTCAGGGCTACGTGGCTTGTCCTGGGTTGCAGGGAGTGGGCTGAGGGCAGAAAGTGGGCTGAGGGACGGTATGAGGGCTGGTAAGGCAATGTTGAGGATCTGCAGACCAGGGATTTGTGCTGGGGAGGCAGTGCTGCACTGAGGGGCAGGGCTAGCTGCCAATACCTGCACGCCTAGGGTGGCATTTAATGGCAGACTCTGTTGAGGCACCAGCTGGGTGGAGTTGGCTAAACCTACAACACTCAAGGTCTCCAAACCCACAGGCTGCAGGGCGGTCTGGTGAGCACCAAGTGTCTGAAGCCCTGCCACTTGGCCAAGGGGGAAACAAGGCAGTACACTGCTGACTGGCTCCTGGACTACCAGTGGCTGGGTTGGGGAACAATCTGGCCGGGGTGAGGTGTTGGGTGCTGAGAGGGGGCTGCCGGTCTGCCTGTGGATCACACTAAGTGCTGGGATGGTCAGCTGAACTGGTCCAGCTTGAATTGGTACAAATGTCGAGTAAGCAGCCAAACCGGCAGGGACAAGCTGGATGCCACCCACAGGTACCATGCTGTACGGGGAACGAGGAGGTTGTTGGGAGTGCAAGGGCAGGTGGCTGAAGAGATGAGTAGTGGCTCCTATTCTGGGTTCATGGAGCGGACCTGCGTGTGGAAAGTGTAAGGATCCCTGAAGAGGGTCAGACGAGGTCTGAGTACCACGGTCGACATTGGCATTGCACTCACTTGCAGGCTGGGATATCGTACTTGACACTCCATCCTGTTAAAACAATAGCAACAACATGAGTATGTTTTAAAAAAAAAAATGCAAACACGCAACATGAAAATAGCTGTCAGTGACTTTCAGTTAAAATTCTATTCACCTTTTCATGCACTTAAAGCAGTTTTGCTGATGTGCCAGGCATGCGAGACTCAAGACATGGGAATGCATATGAGGTTTGGTACTGGTATGGGGTGAGATGCACATGTAGAGAGGAAGGGATGCACGACGGGAAAGACAATGACGGCGAGGACACGGGTCTCACCTGGCCGAGCTTGGCACCCTTGCCTGACACTGGGGGACTAGGGGGAACATCAAAGTCTGGGTAGTCGATAGACATCTGCCTGCATGGTGACACTGGGCTCATCATGTGTACGGAGTCAGTATCAGAGGTGTGGGATTCTGAGGCAGGGGTCGGGTGGGATGTAAAAGAGGTTGGATTAGGGCCGGGGCTGGAACAGGATGCAGAAATTGACATCTGTCTGACCAAAGAAACTGGGCTTGTCATAGCCACAGATTCTGTATCTGATGTCTGGGAGTCCGAAGTAGGAGGAGGCTGAGATTGCAGAGCTGGGGATGGATTTGGGCTGATGGACATCTGAGCCAGTAAAGAGCTGGGAGCCAAATCAGCCTGGTTAGCAGAAAAGTGCTGTGGGCTTGCAGAAACGGAAGGTGTAGCAGAAAGGCCAGACTCTGCCTGGCTGTCCTCCTCATCTTCCTCCTCTCCCTCATTATCTTCATCATCTGGGCCATCAGAGTCATCCCCATCGGAGTCCTGTCTGTCAGCACTTCCTGCTCTTCCACGATCACCTTTAGGGACACAAAAAAAAAAAAAGTGCAGGATGGGATTATGTATCCTAAAGACATGATATTTAAATTTAATATTCAAGTAGTATTTTTGTTTTATTACAGCTTTGACTTTCAGGGTTATAGCATTCACATATACTTCATAGCAAAATGAGGCATGATAGTTCTAGAAACACCCGTCTCATTATATAGGGAAGACATTAACACCTTGAACCACAAATGCAGTCTGCGCCTGACAGCTTGTGTGGAACCGTGTGAGAGAAAAACAAATATGCTCTCAGTAACTGAGACCAGAGAAAGCTCACAGCTTCTCTCTCTCTCTCTTCCTTGCTAAAATTAGATGCTGCAATTTCCTCGCAGTAAACGCTGTGTATGCCGCCCACATGCACCAAGAGTTAACAAGGAAAAAGACTGCATTTAGAATCTCTAATTAGACCATTGCATTGCCATAGATCATCACTTCAATAGAACACAGACAGGGACTATCCACATTTAACAGATGGTGCTATTATTAGAAAACCTAATAATGGTCAGGTTGATTCTACTGTAAAAAAAGGACTATGTAAAAGTGTAAACAAAACAATAGTTTCTGCTCTCTGGACATTGTGGTGAAGTATGTGTCCTTGTCAAATTTCTGAATTTCTGTGATATTCCCAAAAGTGCATAAAATAATCTACCTGAGTCTTCTGCGTCCTGGTCCTCAATAATACCCACAGCGACTCCCATTTCCATGCACTTCTTGCTGTGGGCTTTGGACTTCATGTGCTTGGTAAGGTTCCCTGTGTGGATAAAGGGAACAGAGAGGTCGCTCAGGTGGGAGGCTTATGCAGGGCATGGGAGTGGTTTACATAAGCATGACATGTTCCCAAGCACTAGCTCTATGTAATGGGTGAGTAACTGATAAAGAAGTTCTTAAAGGAACGTGGGCTGGTCTGACACTGTGTGCTGTTCTGCAGAACAGCGTGGGAAGTTCAACTGTGATGAATCATACTGGCTTTTTAAAGAGAACAGGCACATTCTTCAAAAAAAAAAAAAAAAAAAAAGCAGGTAAGAAGAAACACTTAATACAGAAATAATTTCCAACCATCCTTAAAAATGATCAAAATTACCCAACTGTTATGAAATCCTGACCCATTTCATTTAGAAAATTTTACATTTTTAAATTACACACATGATTACATAAGTCTTTGGCCAAGTGTAGAGGTACACAATTCATTGTGGTTAATTTTTTATGGATTACAATCAAGTTCGAATTTAGTATCTTTTTATCCAGTTCATTATTTGTTACCATCAAAAATAACCTTTCAATACTTGCTAATTGAGGAGGAAAACAAAATGTAAGCATCACAGTTTTTAATCAGTGTGTTTGAGACTGAACCCACCTTTAGTTTTGAAAGAGAAGTTGCAGTGCGTGCAGTGAAATGGACGGATATCTGAATGTGTACGGATGTGCTTCCGCAGCATGCTAGGTTTCTTGCAGCGAATTCCACATTCCTCACAGATGTATTTTCCTCTTCCGCGGCCCCGTACATACACATACTCCTCGTTTGATTTGTATCTGAACATAAAACAAATACATCAAAACACTATTCCTATTTAAAACTTTAAAGATTGTTAATATAAATTCTAAGTTTTACAAACCCTCCATCAAAGATCTTCACTCGCTGGGGTTCCGATTTGGAAGTGTCTCTGTCTGACTCTTTCTGATTAACAGGTTGAGTATCTGGTTTTGTTTTTCCACTATTCTCACTTGGCACAGATCTTTGCTGTATCAAAACCTGAAGCGATAAAAGAAGTGAGAAGAATTTGTTAATCGTTTATTTATCCTAGCGTCCATTAAAATTTGTAATGTATAAAGCAATATGCAGTATCAGTTGAATGATTATGTTCTTACTTTTGGCAAGACGTCCTTCAGCTTGCCAGAGTAGGTCAAGATGTCAGATTTCAAAGTAGTTGTTTTTGCTTGGGTGTAGTGTATTTTCTTGGATGTTTGTTTGGAATCAAACAAGGACATTACCACTTTCGTGGGAAGCCCCAATGGATTGGGATTGTTTGGGTTTACTACCCATGCAGAATAGGCAGAGATCCTCTGATCCATCTGCTGAACGTGGAGGGGTTTCCTTTTCATGAGAAAACACCAGGTGAAAGTTGTAGCTGTTTTCAAACTGGGGAAAGACAGACGATGGCTGTCTCTAGTGTTGACCACAGACACAGAAGAAGCTAACTTCACTTGTCCCTGAAATGATGGAGGCCTCAGAGGTGATTTTGATGGAGACCAGCGCTGCTCCTCAGGTTTCTCTTGTGGCTTTAAAGTGGAATTCTCTAGCATGGGGTAGCCTTGAACTCCAGGTAAAGAACGTGCAGGAGGTGTTGTTGTAGGGGTTCTACTCTCCATCTCCTGTTCACTGACCTCAGTTGTTGTCACCTGAGGTATTGGTTTCTGAGTATTCTTTTCAGTGTCTAATGTCTCAGGCAATTGTTCTGGGGCATCAGTCTCAATTGGGCTATCCACTGGCTCTGTGGTGCAGACCTGTCTAACCAGCATTAACTTTCTCTGTCTGGTAATTTCTGACATCTTTGAGTTCAAGTAGTTCAGAGATCTACCATCAGTAAGACATGCAGCTCCATGCTCATCTTTAGCTCGCTTCTGAGTCTTTTCCATAGCAATGTCTAGGCTATTAGCAGGTGAGAGCATACGCTTGCTTGAAGCAGTGGATTCTTGGGGGCATAAATTTGCAGATGCCAATTTTTGCATACAATGCAGTGATCCGAGGGAAAGGATGCTTTGCTCTGTGTTTTGGATTTGGTCAGTTGTTTTCATGTTGTTTTTCATCTGTACAGCAACAGAGCCTGGTTGCTTTTGAGCTTGAATTTCTGGTCCAATCTTCGAATCTCTGTTCACAGAAGGTGCAATGGGGAAGCTGACCTTAGAAACTGCAGAAGCAGATGCTAGGGTGTGCTCATGGGTGATTAGAATCTGTGGTACAGGTGCAGATACTGGCACTTTATGGGAAGCTGTATCAACTTGTGCATTAGAAGGCTGTACAATCGAAGGCTTATTGAGTACAGCCTGATAACTTGATTGTGCAACATAGACATTTTGCATTCCATCATTTGAATGTGACCCTTTAATTTCATTAGCTATTGGTATTGTTATCACTGGCAATGGGATTTGTGTGCCTTGCACACCTGCCAAAGAATATGTCTGGCCTGTTTTCAGTACTGGGCAGTTCATTTGGTATTTAGGTATAAAGATTTTATTTTTCTCATCAGAACTCTTTTTAATGTCTGTCTGACCCCCTACCATATGAACAAGAGGTTGCACATGACCTGCCACAACCCTTGAGGTCTGATGCCATGGGTGTGGAAGGCCATGCACTTGTGGTTGTTCAGTTTTCCCTCCAAGGTTAATGCTTTGGACCACTTGCTCATTTTTTGGTAGCGAGACCTCTCCTGAGTGCACAGCAAAGCACTGAGCAAGAGCGGATGTGTTCAGATTTACTGATCTAGGTTGGGACCCAGAGCATTCATTGGTGAAGGGGACCCTTTGGATGGGGGTAGTCTGTTTCACTGCTATTTGAGGCTCTGGTGCAATCTTCAAGGACATTTGACGTACCAGAGGCCCCCTTCTTCTTTCAATTAGAGGTACCAGGGTAGAGGGAGGACACTGTGTAGTTTTTGGAAGGGCAGTCTGCATTGGTGACAAAGGCCTGCTGGGTGACATACTGCTGCAGTCAAATGATTTGCTACGATAGTCACAAGAAATTTCCACTGATGACTGAGTGTAGCTGATTTGTTCTGAAGTAGAACGTCTCATTATGCCTGGCACTCCAAGAGTGTTGTTTGCTACAGGAACCCCTTGAGTTTCTGGTGGCTTCCCAACACTATCAGCTCTTGATGGGCTGTCAGATCTTGGTGGATCATCTCTGTCAAAGGAGGCTGAAATACTTGAGCACCTTGACAAGCTACTGTCTCTACTGAGGCTACGAGAGAGACTTGACTCAAAGCTGGATTCACCTGAAGAGTGTTCCATTTGAGCAAGTCTTATGCGCTTTTTCTTTGGGGGGAGTTTTTCTGTTGGCAGTTTGGACAAGCTCTCACTCCTCTGAGGCCAGCTGAATGTCTCTGCAGGTTTTTCTGTTGATTCAACAACTTGGGTTTCATGATCTCTGTCTGGTTCCTCTGTTACTAATATTTCAGGGACTTGAATGTTGCTCTGGCGAACAAGCCGAGATTGCTGGACTGGAGGTACATCACCTACAATTGCAAAGGATTGCTTTTCATGAGTTTGGCTGGGACATTTGGGTGTAGACATTCTGTCATGGTAACTTTGCGAAGAACTCACTGCGGTCTCTGTATGGCTTTTTACAGAAATCTTTGTTTCCTTTTCCACAGGATCAACTGGAGATGACCTGTCAATAGACTCAGATGTTTCAAAAGAATTTGGTCGGCTTAGGGAATTGGTATGTCGAATGACTGAAGTTCCACTTCCTTGTCTCTGGAGGTCCCCTCGTTCTTTACATGGTGTGCTTATCTGAGCCTCTCGTATTGGAGATAGTCTTGACTCTTGCAGTTCTCCAGCCCTTGCAATGATTTGTATTTGCCCTAAAATAGCAGAGTTACCTAAAGATTGGGTATGGTGAGAATTAGTCCGCCCTATCGATCCTGTAGAAGACTGGCTGGAGTCAAAACTTCTTGAACATGGGGGTGTGGTCTCAGTGGGAGATTGGTCATCATCATCCCCAACACTTTTAATTTTTCTTCTTTTTCTTAACATTAGTGGTTGCTCTACATTGCCAGTAATTACTGCATTTCTGTTTAAAAGAGGCTGCTGAATTCCACGTCCAAACACTTCATGTTCAGTCTCTCTAGCATGCATAGGCTTGTTTTTTGGGCCATGCAGTTCCGAACAATAAAACTTCTTGTGATTTTCAAAATTTTCTAATTTCCTGTAACGGTTACGGCAAGTCTCGCATTCATACATTGTCCCTTTGTTTTGCTGTGGTTTTCGATTCCTTTCTGTTGCATGCTCAAAAGACTTACTTCGCAGCTCATGTGTAATACTTGGTCCGTGATGACTCTCATCCATGGAATGAACTTGAATAAGGACATGACCATCATTTGTGGACAAATCCTCAACTGCAATCTGCCTCACTAGTGTGCGAGGGTGAACAGCAGGGTTGGGAGTAGAGGGAGCAGAAGAGAATACATCATCATTTAGTGAGCTGATCTTGTCATCGAACGATTGACAGATCCTTAGTTGGTGTGGCTGAGTTGTTACATTGGGGAAGAGAGCCGACTGACCAGGTGTGGTAGGCATGGAATTACTTCTTGTTATTGGTAAACATTCCATGGCTGGATACTGAGATGGTACAGAAAGGAGAAATACTTGCTTGGATTTGTCTGTAGGAGTGAAAGGAGATTTCGGTATGTCTGAGTTAGAACTAGATCTTCTTACCGGTGGTTTGAGATCAAACTGAAAAGAGTCTTTAAATATGTAGGATTTGGGGGAATCAATGCTACCTCTCCGAGAAAGGGAAGTCCGTCTAGGTTTGACACTGTCTAGTTGTTTATCATCCACAACAGCCTCATTGTCTGAAATCAGTTTTGAAATGCGCTCCTCGAGAGATAGAGCTTTGGTTTCCAATGGAGGACGCATTTGTCCTGAAGGAACTCGAGGCTTTTCAATAGTTGCTACATGCATGACAGCTGCCACAACTGGGCAAGGAGGAATGTGTGGGGTTTTTGTAATGTCCGTGTCTCCTGGTGGAGTTATCTTAACAAAAGGACTTGGAGGACTCATTGCTTGATCTGCACTCTCAGAACGTGAAAAGTAGCCAGAGTCAGTGCTCCCAAGACTCCGAGGGCTAAGGAGGCACTTGACTTGTGCCTGTTGAGAGTAATCAGTTGCTTGTTGCCTTTGTAGCTGGGCATGGCTGCCTCCTAGTGGTGATTTACAATGCTGATCTTCATCGTCACTGACTGAATCTTGTGGAGGACTTGTGCAATCCACTTCTTTTAGCGAAGATAGAACCGTTACATTTGACCTTAGATTTGTTGGTTGGAAATCTCTCTGCCTCTGGGCTGTGGCTTGTTCAGGTGCTGAATCTGTAACTCGAGGGCTGTCCGCACGCAGAGGTGAAACATTTACAGGGTGGACTACCACTTTGGGGAGAGCGGCAGTGACCTTTGGCTCACATCCTCTCTGAGTAGCTGATGGTTTAAGATTTTCAAACACCAGTGAATGCTCAGATTCTGCTTGGCTTCCTTGTATCATGCTGGCACTCTGCAAACTGCTCTCAGATAATGCTGTTAGGCTGCTCTGTGAAGAATCTGCATCCAAGTCAGCTGCACTACTTTCTTCATCACTGTCCCCACTTTCATCAACATCTGAATGTGTGGCCAGGCCTTTGTCAGACTCTTGGGAGAGGGAACCACTTCCAGAGTCTTTCACCAGACCTAGCTTGATAGCATGCGCATGAGACTTCTTATGCTTGTATAAGTTGCTCTTGGTCTTAAACGAAAAGCCACATGTCACACAGGGATAAGGTCTCTCTCCCGTGTGAGAACGTATGTGTTTTAGAAGCACACTTGGCTTGGCACAAGCTCTTTTACAATATTCACAGACATACTTCCCTTGCTTTTTTGGTTTTTGATCTTTTGCGGAGATATCAGATACCTGACTTGCACCAAAGTTGACTACCGTTGTCATTTGAACAGGGTTGTAACCTGGTGTAACGGGGACTTGAATTGAGTTGGGTACTGTGGCTGACAAAGACTGGCATGTTTGAACAACAGGGGGCTGGCTCTGTGGGAAACCACCTGATCCTGATGGAACAGGTGCGTGCATCAAGGTAAGCGAAGGACCAACACTGTAGCTTTTCTGGACTCCTGGTTTCTCTTGCTGACGATTTCCAGACATGTACGGCTGTGTTATGTGCTGACCTGTAGATGCCACACTGCTGTAGTACTGTTTGGCTGCGTTGAATGGTTGCATGAAGGAGTTTTGTGACTGGATGTTGAAATTAACAGCAGGCATAGCTACGGCATAGTCTGAATAGGTGACGGGATTTGAAGCAGATTTTCCAAGATGTCCTATTGGACTGCTGTTCTTCCTTTCTGTGAAGTCAATAAAATCTGGCTCCATAGCCTTGAGCAGTACCTCAAGGGGAGCACTTGTGTGAGAGGGAGATTGTGTGCTTTTGTTGCAGCTGTCGCCACACCAGCTCTCTGTCTGCACAGGCTCTGCAACACAAGGTTCCGCTGCAGCACCTTTGTGGCTGAGAGCCTGTGGCTCTGAGGTCGATATCTCCTCCTGCTCCACTTTCACTGTTCTAGATGCAGATACCTCCTCCGGTCCATCTTCAGCATCTTCAGGTTTAGGCGATCCATGTGATGGACTGCTAGGAAAAGAGGAGGGTGTGGCTTCTTTGGATGAGATGTTTGAAGAAATTGATTTCTTGGTCTGGGATTGTTTTTTAACAGGAGATTTAGGTATCTTCTTTAGCTGGTTTTGCGCCACAACTTTTTTTCTCTTCAGTCCTTTGATGCTTTCTGAGTTTCTGCCAGTACTTTCATTTGTGTCTGTAACAAGGGGGAAAAAAGAAAAATTGCAATGAACATTCAAAACTATTTTCAGTACTTAACATTTAAAAATGAATTTAAACATTTCTTAGTAAAATAACCTTTGACCAAACATAAGCGTCAGAGAAAAGAGGGAAAACATGTGCTTTAAAATGTATCTGAAATAAAATGTAATTTAAAAACAGTAATAATTTAATTATTTAAGTAATAATTAAAATTAAAATCTCACACAATACCATATTTTGCAAATGTATTAAAGTTTGATTACAAAATTTTGGCTGCGTGATCATCATCAGGTTTTATATTTTATTTATTTATTAATTTCTTTCTCAGAAAGAGACCTAAAAATAAACCATGAAGGTGATGTAACAAATGACATTTTTGTAAAATATTGCTGTGTGCAGGACTTGTCGTTGTTTTTTAAAAGTTGACCTTTTTGGTGTTTTTTCTATCACCATCAGTTGTGCGGATGTTTACAAAAAAATTATTTGGAACATTTAAACTTGATTATTTCTTCGAATTTCCAAAATTTTGATCTTATTATTTTTAGAATAACATCTTGCAACTCCATATTTTTAAGGAATTAAACCAAATATTTGTGTAATTATATGATCTTTCTAGACGTGGTATTGTTTAAGCTGTCTAAAACAAATTATTTCAGGCACAAAAAATAAACTTTAATACCTAAAATCTAAACCTAAATCTAGCGTGCTCACCTACATAAAGTTCACAATCAAATGTAGCCAGCATTTATGTAATCTTTAAACGCGCAAATTACCCATGCATCTTCCTGCCAATCTTCAAAACAAACACCCATGTCTGTTATTTTTGGCTTTAATTTCCTCCCCCTTTAGCAGAATACCTTTCATCATGCAAAAAAAATTGTAAGGCAAAACAACAACTGCACTTTGCACAATATCAAAACAACAACAAACTCTGCGTTCAACATCACAAACTAGCCAAAAATCAGAACATACCTAAGCAACGAGTATTGACGAAACGACGTGTAGACAAAGCTCTTCCGTTTAAAATGAAAAAGAAAACCCAATCCTCATCTTAGCAAACCCAGTCCAGCATAAGCTGCAGCAGTGCCTCTGACAGCTAGCACATAGATGAGACTGTTTTGGAATCTAGAAGATCTCCTGAGCTGCTACTGAGGCCCACGCATCATTATGTACAAAACCCACTCTCTGTTTCTCAACCCTCTGTCACCATCCCTCTCTCTCTCTTTCTCCAAACCCTCCCTAACTCGCTCTCCTATATCTCATTCGGCACCGCAATTGCTTTAGTTAGGATGAGCCTTACCTTGGTCTATTCTTCAACTGTAGAAGACTGAATTTTGTCCATCGGAAGACAAAAATACACAAGCTGCTTCTACTCTAGGTGTTTATGTGGAGGAATAAACCTGTGTGAATGAATTAAATCTGTCCGCAGGCTCAGCATGGTCTGACTTGAGCACCTAAGTCAACATCTGGCAGAAAACAAATCAGTCTTAATTTGGAAAAAAGGAACCCTGCCGCAGAGCGTGCACAACTGAAACTTGTTCACAATTACGCACCGATGGGCAGAGTTTACCGCATTTGCTGTGTTTGGAATCCCTGTGGTCTTAAAGTTAGACTGAAGGCTCTTTGTGTGGCTGATGCCAAGTAGTTACAAAACACATGACCAAGCCTGAACATCTGTGGCAATCCTGCACTTATTAGGGTTTCCCTTCTTTACTTTGCTTGGCACGGTTGGCGGAGAGAAGTGGTTAGTGTTGTAACAACAAAGTCATCATTTCCTGGATGTTCTAGGAATTCCCCAGAAGTTCAAAAAAGCTCGGTAGGATTACACAGAGACCTCCAATCTGACTTATTTTGGTTGTAAATTCAAAACCGTGTTCATCTGACAATTATTATAGAGAGAGGTGCTAATTTAACAGATTCAGGATCAACATGGAGGTAACATCATAGCCTGTTGTATTTTGAGAGGGAGGATTATTTCTTCTTCAACCAGTTGCATTCTGATTTAACCCTTTCGAAAAATCTTCAAAACAAACACCCATGTCTTTTATTTTTGGCTTTAATTTCCAACCCCCTTTAGCAGAATACCTTTCATCATGCACAAGTTTGTAAGGCAAAAAACAACAACTGCACTTTGCAGGATATTAAAACATCAACAAACTCTGCATTCAGCATCACAAACTAGCCAAAAATCACAACATACCCAAGCAACGAGTATTGGCCAAAATTAAAAAGATTTTAGTTGTAAATTCAACACCGTTTCCGTCTCACAGTATTTCCAGAAAGAGGCGCCAATTAACTTGCTTTAAGAAATTCAGGATGAACACACAGGTATCATTATTGCCTGTTGTATTTTGAGAGGGAGGTTTATTTCTTCTTCAACCAGTTGCATTCTGATTTAACCCTTTCGAAAAATCTTCAAAACAAACACCCATGTCTTTTATTTTTGGCTTTAATTTCCTCTCCCTTTAGCAGAATACCTTTCATCATGCAGACATTTGTAAGGCAAAACAACAACTGCACTTTGCAGGATATGAAAACACCAACAAACTCTGCATTCAGCATCACAAACTAGCCAAAAATCACAACATACCCAAGCAACAAGTACTGGCCAAAATTAAAATGAAAAAGATTTTAGTTGTAAATTCAACACCGTTTCCATCTCACAGTATTTCCAGAAAGAGGCGCTAATTAACTAGCTTTAAGAAATTCAGAATCAACACAGAGGTAACATCATTGCCTGTTATGTTTTGAGGTGGTTTATTTCTTCTTCAATCATTTGCATTCTGATGTAACCCTTCTAAAAATAGGGCCTGGATAAACTGAACATGCAAACGGAGCCTTTCATATTACTACAGTAAATGAATACGGTCATATTACAGTAACATGGATTCAGTTCATTCACACTACACAAGGAGCTTCAAAAGATTCCATCTCAGTCGCATCAGGTCGTTCTCTCAAATAAAAACACGCAACAGTGCGTTCACTTTTTCTCTATGCTTTTACATAATTTTATAACACTTTCCCATTCCAGTGTATTATGCAACATCTATGCTGTTTTTCCATGTGCGATGCAGAATTTTTTTTTTTAATTGATTCTCCGTGTATTTGTATTTTCTGGCTAAAATTGTGCTACTTTTGACAATATGTTATATAAGTTCTGGTGTCCCCAATTTGTGTCAGCTCAAAATAGACCACTATTTATAATATCTAATTTGCCACACATTTTTTGTGTCTCCCTTTATATGCAAATTCCTTGTCCCCTTTCCGAAGAGACAGTCAGGGATCAACAAAACTGGAGAATCGTGCAGAATAATTAAATAATCGAACATTAAAGGTGCAGTAGGTGATTGTCTTCAGAAACATTTGTTGTTGTGCTGGTTGAAAGTCTCTTCACAGTCCAATAGTAATGATTACAGTAAATGATCTACATTTACATTTAGTCCTTTAGCAGACGCTTTTATCCAAATCGATGAACAAATCAGGACAAGGAAGCAATTTACACAACTATAAGAGCAACAATGAATAAGTGCAGTAGGCAAGTTTCAGGTGTGTAAAGAAAGTGTAAGAAGCAAAACATTAGTAATTTTTTTGTAGTTAGTGGAGGAGTCAGAGAGGGAATTGCGGATTAGTAAGGGAAGTGGAGACTAAATAGTTGAGTTTTTAGTGATTTTTTGAAGACAGCGAGTGACTCTGCAGTTCTGATGCAGTTAGGGAGTTCATTCCACCAACTGGCCAGATTGAGTGCAAGAGTCCGGGAAAGTGATTTCTTCCCTCTTTGGGATGGAACCACGAGGCGACGTTCATTCACAGAACGCAAGTTTCTGGAGGGCACATAAATCTGCAGAAGTGAGAGCAGATAAGAAGGAGCAAAGCCAGAAATCGCTTTGTAAGCAAACATCAGAGCTTTGAATTTGATGCGAACAGCAACTGGCAGCCAGTGCAAACAGATGAGCAGCAGAGTGACATGTGCTCTTTAAGGTTCATTACAGACCACTCGTGCTGCTGGGTTCTGAAGCAGCTGAAGAGGTTTGATAGAGTTAGCTGGGAGCCCGGCTAGTAGAGAGTTGCAATAGTCCAGTCTGGAGAGAACAAGAGCTTGAACAAGGAGTTGAGCTGCATGTTCAGATAGGAAGGGTCAGACCTTTCTGATCTAAATATGTTTACATGTATTTTTATATTCTGGGTAAAGCATAAAACTAAAAAATGTTCATCCAATTAAATATTGTTGGGCGACATCTCCCATAATTCCGATAAGCAGCTCAGACTGTCTGTCAGCAAATGTAGATTCTGACTTCTGTGCATCTGTTCACGCAGATCCGCCATTAGCGCGTGGCCGTCTGCATCACAAACGCATGCGCACTGTCACTAGACAGACCGGGAGAAATCAAATGCTGAATTGAAACTTTTAAAAACCTGAATTAATATTGGAGTTACTTTTGCACGCTGGAGGAAGGACGACACCATGGCTGGAGTATTACTGTTAGACAGGTAATGTTCTGTTTTAAAACTATTTTAGTCAGGCTAAGCAGCTTATGTTAGATTGTGTTCTGTTATGAACGGCTTACATGCACAGACGTGTTGTTCAGCCACTGAAATCTCCCGCTGAAAGATTGATGTGATTATTTTCAGTTTCATAAGGTTCTTTGACAGCGTCTATAATGTAGATTTATATTTAGTTTAACAACAAAACATCAGTAAATAGCGCTATTCCACCTAGCCTGCTTTACTGAGCTGAAGTTGCTTTTATATTCACATTGGGTCATTTTTGAACAATGACAGCCTTCCTATACTGTTTACCGCTACTCTGAATATTCGCTCTGAAATAGCATGTAAGTATGGCTTAGTAATTAATGTAATTCCTGCACGGCGCTTGCACTAACTAACTGGCGAATGACATGAACTAGTGGGTTGTCTGTCTGCCGTTGTGACAGAGTTTGCCGTTGCGCGCTCGGGATTTCAGGGGGTGTGGCTTTAAATCACAGTCCCTCCCCGCTGTCCAAAGATAATATGCTACAGTAAGTGGTTAGAATTTTGGCAGATCACCTACTGCACCTTTAAATAATAATGTTCCAACTTATATTCTTGAATACCCGACATTATTATGCCTTGTTTATGAATTATGCAGACAAGTCAAACTAACTGCATAGAACTTGTGCAAGTGCAATATTTGGGTAAATTTGTTTAATGAATCCATGCTTTCTCACTTTGTTTAGAAATTTGGGCAGCTTTATGCAAATTTTCAGCATATTGACAAATGTGGAGAACAATTCAATTAAGTGCTTTCAGCATCTCTGTATGAGCCTTCTCTATTAAAAAGATATAATTTAGAACTTTGAAACATGAAACAAACAAACTACATACGGTAGGATACTAAAGAAAAAGTAACACATGAAACTGCATTATGTGACCCCTTTAAAAGTCCCGCGAAGTGCTTTGAAATGTGCATTTTTATTCAATGTTTGACATAATCTCAACTGAAACATGAAGAGGGGGCGGGGCATAATGTAGCTCCTCCCCTTAAAAAACAGCCAATAATGTTTAGTTTTATCACAGCTCTGCCAGTGAGAGAACTTGAGCTCAAGCGCATCAAATGAAAAACAAATGAGAAAGGGGTGGGGCATGTCAGATACAAGAGAGCAATTGATTGGTCAAGATTTGATGATAATCTAACGTATGAGGTGACGTTATGAAAAAATTGCTGATCCATTTAAACAAGCTTTGGATGTTTATATCAGGTTTACATATGATATTTTGAGCACACTAGTTAATAGATATCCTTAAAACTAATATACTAACATCTTACCTTTGGACTTTAAATCCAGAGATGTTATCTGGTATGGTGTAAAGTATGGCAGGTTCATTCACAGAGCACATTTACACTTTTGAGAAGCTGAATGGAGGCATGTCTGAAAAACTGTTCTGGAATTGGCCCTGTAATTGAACACTGAAATTCTCTTGCCTTGAAAAACGTGACTGACGTAATGAACAGAGTGATTCAGTCGGCGCACAAAAACACCCAGCGACTCCCCATTTAAAGCCACAGACACGTTTGCACATCTCAGAGAGGCAGAGAAAAGGCTTAGGTACTGGATGTTCTGCTGTTGAAGAGGGGGAGGAGAGGAAAGCTTCCTGTAGATGTTGCAGTCAGAGAAATGAGGTGTTATATGATTAAGCATACCTTTGTGTGCACCTTTGGGGTCTTTGAACTCTTTCTGTGCCTCTTCTATTTTATCTGCAATAGAAAAGAAACAGATTTTAGCCACACGACAATGCAATGTTGAATACTGCAGTGCAGATAAAGCAAACATTTTGAATTCAGAATAGCATTTCAGAATAGGGACTACAATTTTATGACATACACAATAACAAAAATACAATTTTGAGCTATATATTGTAAAATATTAGAGATATTGGTGAACATACAGACTAATATTTGGATTTTTGTTCTAATTTACAACTGTATTACTGCTAGAGGTGAATATTTGAATATAAATCAATAGAATGTAAAGTATACTACAGAAATAATCATATTACACTGTATATGTATAGCTATGGTCACGGTGGCGCAGTGAGTAACATGATCGCCTCATCACAAGAAGGTCGCTGGTTCGAGTCCCGGCTGGGTCAGTTGGCATTTCTGAGTTTGCATGTTCTCCCTGTGTTGGCGTGTCTTCGGGTGCTCCGGTTTCCCCCACAGTCCAAATACATGTGCTATAGGTGAATTGAATGAGCTAAATTGGCGGTAGTGTGTAAGTGTGTGAAAGAGCGTGTATCTGTGTTTCCCAGTGTTGGGTTGCATCTGAGAGGGCATCTGGTGCGTAAAACATATGCTAGATAAGTTGGCGGTTCATTCCACTGTGGTGACCGGGACTACGCCAAACAAAAAATTAATGAATGAACAGCAATGGAAAAAATTAAGAGACATTCTCAGCTTCTCTGCAGTTACTATAATTATTAGGTAAGTGCATGTTTAAATTGATATATTATTTTAATCTTATATTATATATTATTATATTAACATATTATATTTATATTATTTTAATTTTAGTCTAAAAACATTTATTCTCGGTCAGCAGTTTTTGTTTAAAACAGGAATTTATAAATGGTTAGAATAATGTTGGTTATACCACCAACTACTGATATCTCAACTTTTTTCATTTTATTGTTATTGGTAATTAATATAAACAATAAAAATTAGATTAGTGCTGGGCAAAGATTAATCAGGTTAATCACATACAAAATAAAAGTTTGTTTTGACATAACATGTGTGTAATTAATACATTTATTATGTTTATATGATAGAAACAAAACTATATTTTATAAAGTGGTTATATATATATATATATATATATATATATATATATATATATATATATATATATATATATATATATATATATATATATATATTATAATTAAATAGTTTTGTTCATATTATCATATTACATTATAAATATATTTACATTTTTTAAACATTTTCTCAGATATATGCATGTGTTTGTGTAATAAATATACAGTACACACACATAAACGGAGAGATTTTTTCAACACATTTCTAAATACAACAGTTTTAATAACTCATTCCTAATAACTGATTTCTTTCATCTTTACCATGATGACAGTAAATAACATCTTACTAGATATTATTCAAAACACTTCTATTGAAAAAACATATAGCTTAAAAGGGCTTAAAATTTTGACCTTAAAATGTTTTTAAAAAATTAAAAGCTGCTTTTATTCTAGCTGAAATAAAACAAATAAGATTTTCTCCAGAAGAAAAAAAATTATCAGACATACTGTGAAAATTTCTTCGCTCTGTTTAACAGCATTTGGGAAATAATAAAAAGAGAAAAAACAAATTCAAAGGGGGGCGAATAATTCGGACTTTAACTGTATTATGTCAAAATAAACATTTATTTTGGAATGCGATTAATCTGGATTTTTTTTTTTTTTACCAAACACTAATAAAAATGCTTGAGAACAAAATGCAATTTTTCAAACTTTTAAATTTTTACATTCTGAAGAAATGTCATCATCTGTAATTTACAGAATAAAAAAAAAGTTTTACTCAAATATTAATCCTAAATTTAATATATAAAAACTGAGAATTGTTTCTCAAACTGTAATAATATTATATTCATTCATTCTCCTTTGTCTCCTTATCAGGGGTGGCCACAGCGGAATGAACCGCCAACTTATCCAGCATATGTTTTACACAGCGAATGCCTTTCCAGCTGCAACCCAGTACTGGGAAACATTCATACACACTCATTTACACACAGTGTGGGGGAATCCCATGCCAACACGGGGAGAACATGCAAACTCCACACAGGAATGACAATTGGTCCAGAAGGGACTCGAACAAGCAACCTTGGTGAGGTGACAGTGCTAACCAATGAGCCACTGAGTATAATATAATATAATATAATATAATATAATATAATATAATATAATATAATATAATATAATATAATATAATATAATATAATATAATATAAAATTAAATTATAAAAAAAATAATATAATATAATATGAAAAAATATAATATAATCTAAAATAATATAATAAAATCTAAAATAATATAATCTAAAATAATAAAAAATAACAATATAAAAAATAATATAATCTATAATAATATAATATAAAATAAAATTATATAAAATAATATAATCCATAATAATATAATATAAAATAATATAAAATAAAATTATATAAAACAATATTATATAAAATAATATAATATAATATAATATAATATAATATAATATAATATAATATAATATAATATTATATTAGCCTGTGTGAATCTCTCACAGCTACGGCAGACATTTCATATTTCATAACATCTGCTTTGAGTGCGGGAGGGATATTCCTGTATTGGCTGGGAGAATATACCAATATTAAAACACAATTACTGATTATTACATAAGAGCAGCCAGTAGAGTGTGTTTGTGATATGCATGCAGGCACATGTGCTGCAAGATTTGAGCAAGGAATCAGAAGCAATCATCTCCTTTCACTACCTTAAGTCTCCCACAAACACGGCTTTCAGAAATACAAAAAAAGCAGAAGAGATCGGTGTGGTCTGTTTCAACCACAAACCCCATCATGAAGCATGAGCAAACAAATCTTCACTGTGCCTCAGTTTCAGAAAGAACTCTCTCTCTCGCTGTTTGGAAAAATGCGGCGGCCACTGAGAGACGGTGTTTGGGGAATGACTGTGTTTTGTGCACGCAGAACAGGGCGGATCTGCGAAGGGGAGCCCAGTGACCGAGGTCGCAGTGTGTGTTATGTTATGTCATGATGAGTGAGCTGAAGGCACACCCTTCATTAACTCTCTCTCTTTCGCTCTCTGCAAACTCAATCTCTTATATAACCCAATGTATTTATATACAGCCCAATCTTAGCTAATCTTTCCCATCAACCCACATCCAACATCTCACACCACACAAGAGCTGCTGAAAACAAACCGAGTTTTGTCCATGAAATGCACAGCATTTAAAGGGATCGTTCACACAAAAAGGAACATTCAGTTCTCAGAATGAGTCTCTTTTTTTCTGTTAAACACAAAAAACTTTATTCTTACACATTTTTCAGTCACATTCAAGCACTTTCCAGATGCATTGTTCAACTTTTCCAGAATTTTACAACTGTGTAAAATTACGTTTCCTTACAGCGGGGAAAAATCACATCAGAAGACATATTTCTAGGTGCTGTTGACTTTCAATTGTCGCCAGATGTTGGTAACCATCAACTAAAGCCATATATGCAAATAAAGCAATATTAATTAGTTTACAAATGAAGTTATGTGTAATAAAATGAAATGACACATGGAAAAAGTATTGAACACATGAAAAAAGGGAGGTGTAGTCCGGCAGTGAAAGCCCAGACAGCAGCTGAAATCAGCAGGGGCCTCATGTATCAACGCTGCGTACGAACAAAAACTTTGCGTACGCCAGGTTTCACGCTCAGAATCGCTCACGTTTGGATTTACTAACGATGAACTGAACGTGGGAATGTGCGCAGCTCCACGCCAGCTTTATGGCTGGCGTACGCACATTTTTTGTGCGTGTCTGTTTTATTTCCATTGGCGACTCCTAGAGACAGTTGTGTTAAATTGCTCTCTACAAACTGTCTTCTCAGCTTGTATGAGACGGGTTCATCCGCATGTCTAGTATGTAAGGTTTCCGTACCATACAGTTGACCATCCAAACATTAAAGCGTAATTTGCAGCGGTCGCCGGTTTTCCCAATGTAATCGGAGCAATCTACTGCACACACATTTCCATAAAGGCACCATGATCTGAGGATGAACTGGCATACGTGAATCAGAAACATTTCCATTCAATAAATGTGCAAATTAAATTTGATGCACAGACTTATTAATGATTCCTACTTGTCTTTCACATGATAAAGAGTATATAGGCAAAATCTGATATGTAGCAGGGAAAAAAATAAAAAGTTCATCAGCCGCTGGATTCGAACCGAGTTCATGCTTGAACTTATTGAAACATGTTGCTTTGGGTTTAGCAAGCTGCGCCACTTAGGCTGTTAAAAACACTGTAAAATTTTACACCTATAGATCTCACAATATCTTTTTTAATCCACTCAGTGCGATGTTTAGACCCAACTGTGTTAACCGCATCAGCTAATCTCTCCCCACTACATAAAAAAAACTCTTCCCACTCTATTTTTTCTTTTGTTGATAATTCCAGAGGACAAACTTGCAAATAAAACAGTTTTTCTGCGGTCTACCTCCGAAAGCAGCACCTTCAATTCACATTCTGTTCAAAGTTTCTCTTTTTGCTTGATTTTGCCATTGCTTTTTCGTTGGGTTTTGCCAAAGTAGAGTCATTAGCATATTCATACGGGGGCGGAGGCAGGGAGGGGTTTTGTGCTCGTGCATGTTGCGCTCAGTTTCACGTTCATTCAGATGTACAAACAAAATATGCGTGAGATTCGGCGTACGCAGTGTTTCATACATCTGAATTTTTTTCTGCGTACGCACATTTACAGCTTTGTGCGTCACAATGTTTTAGTATGATTTCCACGCAAGTCTTCTTACATGAGGCCCCAGTTCTTCAGCAACCCTCTGCCCTTCCTCAGTGTAAATGAATATCAGTTGCTTCACTCCAACATCTACATTAGCAGGAGGATGAAGATGAAACCAGGACATTTCAGCATGACAATGATCCAGAAAGCAACCAAGGAAACTCTCAGATGCTTTCAGAGA